ACTTTTTCATTATTCTTTTCCCTCAAAACTCCTATCGTTCGAAAGGTATGTGCACTCATTTATTGATAAGTTAGTGAAAGCATATCAATCAATAGTGCTCTTTTGTTGAAAACATCTGATTGTTAGAAGACACTTTATCGATCTTTTATGATCAATAGACGCCGATGACTCATGCATGCTTGGGTGGACGGAGAATGCCACATGTATAGATTTCAATGTGTATTCTTTATTTCGTAGCTGTATAGAAAATAATTCGTTTCAATCGGCGATGTATGCGTCCAGTCATTTTACGGTACCCCACAGTAATTCAGATTTGTCGTCAGGACAGGATCGACTTTCCTACGATTCGTTCGGGCGACTCAACAGCTGTCAAGTGAAGATGAACGGCAAGGGCATGAATAGATACAGTATCAGATCGAACCTAAGTACATCGTCGTTGAGGTGTTGATTTACTTTTGTTATTATAAACTATGGCACTTTGCCACAAGAAAGGTGAAAAACTTCTCAAAATCTTCTGAATAAAATAACTCCTGTTCTTAGAATGGTTAGAAAACCAGATTTAAATGATTTTTATGAAATGTCAGTCAAAACTCTTAATGGCGTCGTTTCAAACGACCGATAGGTCCGGGTAATCCTTCGATTAGCCAGTCCTTCGTTTGGCTTCGTCTCATTCGTTTTGATGACATGTACCTGCAAATTATCTCTTACCTTGGGGTGAGAAATTCATGTAATGAGTTAAGGTCCCAGAGTAACCATGGGTCACATCCATTTTCTTCTCAGCTCTCATCATTATTTAGCGACGTTACGATGCATATAAGCACTGTCGAGTTTGCTGCAACATGTTTTGCGGAAAGGTTAGAAATGCCCGTAGAAGGGTTGGCAGTTTGACTCTACGGTCATAGGCAAACCAAGCCCTCCATCTCTTCGTCGAGGTCGGATAACGAGTCCAGACTTGTCTGGAAAAATAAAAGCATAAACCAAAAAGTTCGTAAGCCCCTACAAGTCATTGTGTAGGTCAAATACGCACTCAGCTACCTCTACGACGCCTCGAATAGAGCCAAATGCAGAGCTGATCCCAGTCGGATCATTCAACACCGAACGCTTTGCATTTGATCGTTTTATAGTTGACTGAAAAGCAGTAAGAGCGAAAAATCCATAAAGATTAATGACGAATTATTACGGACTTCAGTGGTGCCAATAATTACTTAAAATCAAAACTGGTTTGCGCCAGGGATGCTAATGTGTCGCGATCGCTACACCCCGTTCTGATGACGCTCCAGATGTTGGCTCTTTTTCCGAATCCGAATACAAATCGGGAGCCTCGATGGAGAAAAATAACGGTGAGTATTGGTTTATAAAATAACGAGATTTCTTGACTGTTTTATTTACTTCCTACTCTTTTTAATGGCAGAGTATAATCCGAAATATAACTTCAATGGTGCTGAGATATTTGCACAACTCCGGACCGTAGGTGTCTGTGGTGGAGAACGAAAGCGCTATTGTCCTTTCCGAGGTGTAACGCGTACACCTGCCATTAAAAAGAGTAGGTAGTAAATAAAAAGGTTAAAATTGTGATTATAACTACAGCCTCAGCTTAACTGGTTTCGTTGCCGAATTGGGCGCCCCAGATGAATCTCGCTGACGGGTGATTGCTATGGCAAAGATGGATAGAACTAGCTGAGAGACAGGTGAAACGAAGGACTCGCATGGTATGTTGGTGAACGCGTTACTCCCCGGAAAAACCAATAGTGCGTTCGTTTCCCACCGTAGACACCTGCGGCCTGGAGCTTTGCAAATATCTCAGCATCATTGATGTTATAACGGGGTGTTTTTTTAAAAAGCTGGAATTTGGTTTACAGTAAATGCAGAACTGGTTATTTAAAGATTTTCGTGAAGACCTAACATGTTTGTCGAAATAACAGGTACATTTGCTTACTTCACTGAAAGTGTTCTTCAGAAAGAGTAGTTTAAGTTACAGTATAATTTCCACTCTCGTGCTTTGCTGTTGGAAAAATTACTTTCTTTAATCCTAAGCTTATTGTGTTTCCACCCTTTCTGCACCAACTTAAATGTTAAGCAGGGAGCTTGGTCGATGACATCGTAACAATGTAGTGACAGAAAGGCGAATCTTCTCCAGCTGTGTGGGACCTTAAGAGTAACAGCGTTGCTATCTGTCCTTGAAAAAGATTGGTATCCCGAAATGTTTAGCATCTGAAGAATATTGCATAGAGCTCATCGAGTTGACCAAGTATGATAGTACCGAGCTTCTAGTCTATTCATGTTATGTCCAAACCACTACTCAGTTGAAGAAGTTCAGGGAAGAAGTTTCTACTGAATACCGACTGGCCCTTGTTTAACAAGTATTGTCCACTGAAAAAGCTATGTGGATCCAAAATGAGTGCCATTCTTTTAGAGCATGTTGACCAGTAAGTGGATCTGTTAGTGTTGAGAACTGTACCTGATTCTTTTCTTTACCGCACAGCTGAAGTTGAACTCCACTATTACTTCGTTTCCCATGGAAAAGCTGTTCGACAGCGTGATATTGTCTCACTGGAGCTCTCCATTGCTAAATTGCAATAGTTAACGACGCGGCTCAATTACTACGAAACAGATGTTCCGTACCGTAGAAATTTCTTCCGAAAAGGTTCATGTTTTTCCGACGACGTCGTCATCTTGAGAAGCACCAGCGAAGCAGGAATATCATGAGCTTCAACAAGGTGGAAAAGGATGACTGCTTTCAAACCATAAAGAAGCCCAATTAATTAGGAAACCTACGCTGCTATGAAAATGTAATCGAAATAGGTGAGTTTCTTGCTGCTGGCATGGCACTACATCATAGATTTTCCTTGAGCGTTCAGTGATTATGGAGGACAGCATAAAGAAGGGATCGCATACAATGTCGTCTGAAAATGTCCAATGAAAGGAAAAGAAAGACATTTATTGAAACAAGAGCACATGATGACTTGTGCAAGCTTCTCAGAAAAACTATCAACCAACTGACTTGTTTAACTCTACACTTCTCCCAGTATCCTAAAACGAACCCGATACGTATTACCTTGAGGTCTCATCTGTTACCCATGTTACTTGTCCACCCACACAGTGCTTGAGAGATTTTAAAAATTACAACTGGCAAATATATTAAGGACAGCTGCAGTGTACAGGTCTTCCAAATGATCTCGTCTTCAGGATCCAGGAAAAGCATACTTCAGAAAGAAAACATTGATATGCCTGCCATATAGTGCGCAGAGCTGACTCGGATGCAACTGGAGAAAGAGATAGATGGACTACTACAGAATACAAATGTCCTTTCCGGTCCAGCTCTACATAATTGTGCTCATGGAAAATCTTTATAGATCATCAGATGCTGCCAACAAATGTTACCATATTGTATTGAATATCCTAGGGGCGCGTGTGGCGCACATGTCAGAGACGCCCTTCAACAAACACGTGGAATCGATTCCAGAGCCCATGGCTCACTAAGCCTTCCATCCCTCCGGGGTCGACAAATTGGTACCAGAATTGTCTGGGAGAAAATCAGTAGTGGCTCGATACATTGGCAGGCCACTGAAAGTCATCGTAAAGACCGGATATGCTTTCAATCACCTCCAAACGATATTTAATGAAGTCGAATATATGACGCATTACTCAGGGATTGATCAACGCCTAGAGCTTTTTTTTATGCTGAATATCTTAAATCCTATGAGCTGCTTTTCCTTTTTACAATGTTATACCTTTTTATTTTCTGCCTACTATAATTTCGCGGCAGGGTACTAAGCGAAATAGAACCACAACGCTGCTGAGATATTTGCAAAACTCTGGACCGCAGGTGTCTATGGTGGGGAACGAACGCGCTATTGTCCTTTCCGGGGAGTAACGCGTTCACCACCACACCATGCGGGTATCAAGAGTTTTGCAAATATCTCAGCAACGTTGTGATTGTATTTTCCTTTTTAGTTTTCCGAGAAGCAAATTCAGGAATTGCAATTTAATTTTCCCAGCATATTCTTCTGAAACAATCTTTTTTCTTTCGAATGCTGAGCTAATATATAAAGCAGCAAAGCACACCTTACGCATTTTCATGCACAAATGAAATTTATGCACCCTCTTATAATGTAATTACAACATAAATTTATTTTTTTTACAATTTTTTAAATAGAGTTTGGGATGTCTAACCAGCAGTTCCGAGGAATCTATTTCTACGAATTCAAACTCGGTCGTTGTGCAGGGCAACGGCTCGAAACCTTAGTAATGGTTGGGACCAAGGAATAGTTAACGAGCGCACTATGCGATATTGGTTTGAAAAATTTCGTTGTTGTGAATTTCGACGATGAAGATGAGGAATATACAGAACGTACTTCTCTTGTTGAAGCCGAAGAACTAAAACTTTTGGTGAAAGCAGATGCATTCACAAGTGTTCGAAAACTCGCAAAAAAAAACTCAGTTTAAACACCTAAACTCTCGAAGCATTTGAACAAAACTGAACAGTAGAAGAATCACGACAAAGTGGTCACTTGAAGGGACCAATCACTCTCCACACTCACTAACGGCCACAGTTGGCACAGCCAGCGATCGTAACGAAGGCTAAACGAGCTGGACTACGCTACTCTACCTCATCTACAATGTTCCCAAACTCTTTCCTGTCGACTACCGCTTTCTACAAATATCTCACCAGCTTCCTTTGTGAGAAATACTTCAGAATCCAATTCGAAGTCGAAACTATGTCAAGTGCCTTCATTGCCTCCAGAACTTCAGGAAGCCGGGCAAGTGGAATAAATAAACTTGCTTCTCGTTGGCGAAAATGCATGTATATGCTTTATTCCGAGTAATAAACTTTAGCCCACGTTGAGATATCCTACTTAAAAATACGGGCTGAAATGTTGCTTTGATTTCCGAACAATGACAATAAAAACAGAAGCAAAGAAATAGATTACATGGACTTTTATGAAATTCCAGCCCACATTTTTTCATCAAATGGCTAAGAAAGACCATCTAAGGGATAATTCCAGCGACTGGTGTTGATGCTCAACTACTCGTTATTAACAGTGTTGTTCAACTCCTATTTACTTAATAAAAATTTGTGGCTTATTACTGCATACAAAGTAAGTTTTTTATACTATACATTAAAATTTTCACGGGCACAGAACAGCTAAAAAGGCGAAAATTTTAGGATTCAGCATGAAAGAGAACTGCAAAAAACCACGAAAGCTATACTCAGAGTATTAAAATTTCATATCCCGATCCCTTCCACAAAGCTGCTCATGGCGCTTTTATGTTTAAGCCTGAAAGCTTGGAAACGCTTTGTTTTCTGTAGTAAATTACACTGAATGATGTGGTCTAAGTGAGGCTTTCTTCGATCGAAAACACTGAATTTGTATAGGCTTTATTTCATCTTTCTAAGCATAAGGACTTGATCTAGAGCAGCGGTTTGAGACGCGCTGCAATGCACACGTGGTCATTGGTTCAACCCCTCCACTCGGCGTAATTCGATCACTCATCCATGTGGGATCGACATATTGATATCAACCTTTTCTATAACAGTAAAAACACTGACTACATCAATGGGCTACCACTAATTATTGTATAAACAAAATGTGCATCCAATCACCTCAGCGATGCTACGAATTGAGTCGAAATCATGGCGCATTCCTAATGGATTCTTCAGCGCCATACGCTTTGCCCTTTATCTTTTTATGACGACAGCATCGCTGTTAGTTCAACGGCACGTTCTTTGTTGGAGATATGGCATTCACAGCTCTGACATAAATTTTCTTCTGTTCTTTCATTTGTAGGATTTGATAGTTTTCAGGAGCGCTTTGGTCTGATGCATGCTTCAACTGTATCGAGTATTATAACTGGTATCAAACCGCTAATTAATATTTTTATCATCAGCTTACTAGCTTTTCGTGTTCGGCAACATCTTCGTCTGATTAGGGTATATTTTTGATTCATTCATCAATAAAAAAAGTTGCCTGATCTGAACAAAGAGTTTTCACAAGGAAGTTCTGCACACATAGTTACTCGTTCGATCCTCATCCTATACCATCAAAACCCCAGATGCTTTTGAGGTCAGCTGGGGCAGAGGTTTTATTTTCTAAGAACAAACAACTTAAAATTGATGAAGGGCGGTTTCTGTTAGATTTACTGTACGATTCAACTTCAAATTAGAGAAGCTCTTACAGAGCGCTGTTCATCACTGTCCACGTGAAAAAAGGGAGTCCATTTTCTGGAAATCCTCAAGATTATCATTTATTTACAAAACATATTACATATAATCCACTATATCATAAAGCACTAACTTTTTTGTGGTGCCTGTCAACTGTTCTAATCATGTCCATTATCACGTGATGGGAGTGTAGTGATCAGCCTGAGTCACCTAACCTAATCACTTTAACGTAACTGCGACGAAAAACCGGTAGCATATTTCTTTGGAAAAAAAACCTCGTGTTCATCAATGAAAGCCGATGACTGCCGATGGTTCATATAAGGAAGCGCTCTTGCAAAGCTTCAATGGAGAATCTTTTACAGCAGCATTTAACGGAATTAATGAAAAGGTCCTCAAGTGGTAGTCGAACCAATGTAGAAATTCGGAAACCTTCGTAGACAGTGGGCACGACGAAAGGAGTCGAATGCAAAAGTGCTGTGCCCCTTACAATTTTAGAACTTGGGTCATTAATCAGTAAACAAATAAGAAATTCACTACTATCACCATGACCATTACCATTATCTCTCTCACTTAGGCCTCATATTTCTTTCAGCCTTTAAAATAAATTCTGCGTTTTCTTCTCTGCTGAAACTTGGTGAAATAACCTTCCTTTATCGGCCTATGTTTGGACTCATTTGAAACTGCCTACATCGTTGACATTACTGAGTCCACCGCATGGTTAACCAGTTTCGAGATTTTGTTAGATTATAAGAGAGCCCTACTTGGAATGAAATCATTAGCTATATTCTTCTTGAGCAAACACGAGGTGTTACTTTATTCGTACTTGGCGATAATGCTGACGTTTGGGCGGATTTCGCCTTCTTCAGGGCATAGAAGGGACAACTTGACTGCAGTCTACCCAGCAAAACACCTTCGTGGGCTCTATAGGAGATGTTTTACACCCCTTTTAAATATACAGGATGTCGAATTTGTTGCATGAGAAAAACAATTTACGACATTCACCAAATACAAGATGCAATCAGAATGAGTTTACTTGTGAATTCCATGAAGTAATAAATTTGGATCTGGGCCACACGGAGATTAATGGGAATTGTCAGAGAAAGAAGAAACTGTTAGAGTGCACGATCGCCTTTGCCAGCAATTGATTAACTGCCAAAACACTTTGTAGAGTTCAAAAAGGCATAGTAATTGGCAAACAAACAATACTAGCAACTAGAGCTATCACTCGGCTTTTCTGATACTGTACCATATTACACGTGTGTTATTGGAATAATTTTCGTGCTTTTTTTCATTACTAGGAGGAAGATTGAAGGTGACCGGACGAGTTTTACTACCTCTGGACGAGTTTTCATGTGGATTGAAAAACTTTGTTTTCAGACACTGGACATGGTAGATGTCTGCTTTCGTAATGCATTTCAATTAACGCCACCTATTTGCTGCTACACATTCGTGTTTTTTATAACCGTCGCATTTTTTTCTATTGTACCGTTCACCTTTAAAGTTGTGGAATCCATCTATGATGAACAAAAGTAAGTTAAATAAAGAAAAATTGGTTTTAATTATATTTTCATACATAGATTGTAATAATTAAAAAGGGATAAAGCTCCCGGCGTTGATCAACCCCTGAGAGATGCAACCACTTCAATAAGCATTGTTGGTGGTGATTTAATGCATATCAGGCTTTTACAATGACCTGTGGTGGCCAACGATATATCGACCCAGTGCTGCTATCCTCCCAGGTAAGTCTGGTACCAATTTGCCGACCCCGGAGGGATGAAAGGCTTGGTGAGCCGGGGGCACAGGGATCGATCCTATGTCGGTATTGGAGGACACCTCCGACCACTGTGCCATACGTGCCCCTTTCATGTTCCAGTAATTTTTCTAAATAGTCATCCACCGCACTTCAGATACACTAGATATTTTAATGCTAAAAAGGCATGAAAAACATGGAAACTTTGCCAAATAGTTTAATTGTGGAAAAAACATGCAAACTTATTGGAAACTAGAAGTCAACAATATTTTTGCAAAAACTCACCAAACATCTCGTTAAAAATGATTTTCTCATGTTTTTCCCATCTCTGTACTTCACTTTGCAAAAAACCTACGCTATGGAGTTCTTTCTGTTCAGAGGCTGCATTGGGCATACTGATTGGATTGATTGAAGCTACCATATTTTTCTCTTGCCTAATAAAACAAAACACATTTTTTTATGAACAGGAGGACGAAGGAGCCGAGACATTAGCTGAAAAAAAACAGTTTGGTATCTGTGAGAAGTTATGCCGATGCGATAGACGTTTTGTCCCACGCCCCTGAGCATAAGCCATCAGTTCATCCTTACCCCGGACTTCATGCAGCGTTTTTAGAACTTGAATAATAAATTGTAGTGCGTCACATTCAGCAACCCTTACAGTAACGAAAATGCTACAAAGATAAAAATGGCAACGTTTTTATTGCACAAAGTGTTGAAGTGCAAACGAAGGATAAGGCTTTTGGCGTTGATCAATAACTGAGGGGTGCGCCACATATTCGTCTCCATTAGGCATGGTTAAAGGTGATTGCTGCATATCTCGCCTATACATTGGTGGCCTACTGATGTATAGAGCCAGCGCTGCTATTCTCCCAGACAAGTTTGGTACCAATTTGTCGACCTCGAAGCGATAGAGGGCTTGGTGAATCTGGCGCGCTGGATCGAACCCATGCGTATTGCAGGGCACTCTAAGCACTGCGATACACGCGTTACACGAGGGGTTAGAGTAAAAAATCTGGAAAATCCCACTATGTATATTCATTGCTTTTTATTAAACATACGTCCTACTTACGTTTACCACACTGATTAGAAGTGCTCTGAGAGGCACAGGGTCGCTGGTTTCCAAAGCTCACACTCCACGTTCCTACTGGCTTACTCTAACTCTCCTATTTACGTTCTATTCATCGAGACCATATTTTTTATACACTAGTATAGCTTGGTTTATTATAAAACTTTGCAGGTTGTTTTCTATCTTATTCTATGACCTCTATAGTTCCACTAATGGATTCCAATCTGTGTAGTATTAAAACAACCCTTCATATGCTTTACATGTTTCATATAGCATTAATTTTCTAGAAAACAAAGCAGTTGTACACTGTAAGACCAATTGTATGCAATCGCTATTTATTCCAGTACCCACTACGTTACTCTGTATGGTACATGCTTCATTCTTTCAAGAAAGGACGTGGATACCAACTGGGTGCATACAGCACGGGCGCGGGACTAAGATGTTTATTTGCGGACTAATGCATTGCTTTGTGATTCAAAAACAAGTAGTTGAACAGAAAACACCTACAAGAAGAGAATCGAAGCGAGTTCTCGTTATTCTAAACAATCTGGTCATCATAATGAGGTCGCTTAAGGCATATTCAGATGATGAAAACAAATAGGGAATGGAAATTTCGACACGAATAGAAGCAATTTCTTCTGGATAGTTGATTTTTCGACAAGGTTTATAAGGTCAAGGATGTGCTCCGGATTTCTTATTGTCGCAACTTTCACCATCACGACCAATTCTGTTAGAGGTGACATCCGAATAAATGAGATCTTTTGTAGATTCGGTTCCAGTATGATTCATGACACAGCTTTTATCATCGTCCCTACATTGACATTATGGAATATCATACCTCTTCTCTATTACAATCTCTACAACCAAATCGTTCGATTTTATTGCAAGTACGTAGCGCTGATTTATTCGATAATACTTACTTGATACTTATTTGAATACCCCGTGCTCACTAGTTGTGTGGGCCCCAGTATAATCTCCATTTTTCTGTGATTTACTGGTTAAGCCACTGTGGTTTCCTGGAATCCCAGGGTCAGCCTGGCCGAAGTCAGCCTCGGGTCTTCACCACCACAGACAGTCGCAGCCCTTGTGGATTAGAGGGAGATTTGCCAGCGCGCGACTGGTTTGATACCGGGGTGTGGTGCATCCAGGTATTGGTTTACTCTTAGCTAGGCTTCCTGATGGAAACGCCGGACTCTTTCTCTGCTTGGGAGACCCTGCCAGGGAATGAGTCCCCCGCTGTAAATCGCAGTCCGGCACCCAGGAACACCTCCCAGCCACGATGAAGTGGTAAATCGTTGGGAGGACTTTTTTGATGATAATGAGCAAAGAAAAGAAAAAAAATTAACCATTGACAAAGGAAATGCTGGTGCACAAGCCTGCGTAATAAACGACCAATAAGGCCGAAAATCCGTGGGCCGTTGTGGATTCGCGTTCGATCGTCGATTGTCTTTTGCTGTCCCCTTTACCCATGTCGAAGTCCACATCAAATCTCTAGCTACCGTACCCACATTATTAATATTAGCATTCCTTGGAATTGAACGAGGTAATTGAGGACAATCTACAAGATAACGATTCCTTTCGTTGAGAAATGTTATGAATTTCGAGTAAAAAAAATGACCGGATGAGAAGTATGTTGAAAAACGAAGCATCTTATTAATCTCTCCACGGCGTTCGTTTCAGGACCCTCATAGAATCTTTGACTAAGAAGCATCGAAAGCGACACTTTAGTTTAAAATTCTATTATGAACAATTTCTTCGTATCACAAATGTGCAGGTACCGTAGCTATTTACTAGTTTGTGTTATAATTTCAACTACAATTTAATTCATTTTATAGGAAGCGGTGGGAAATTTGTTTAATCCGTTCATACTTTTTTCATTGGCTTGGTCAATGCTGATTCTCTGCTTGACTATATATTTTATTACCCAACCACATTCGAGGTATTCATTTACAAACTTTGGAATTTTGTTTCTAAAGGTCTGTGCGTGTTGTTTTATAAAATCGTCTGAACATGCATAAATAATGAGGGCGAAGTTCGTAAATGTTACTTTAAACCAAAAAAAGTGGAGAGAGAAAACAAATGAAGGGACGGAGAAATGTAAGATATCCTCCCGACGGCTTACCGCCTCGTCGTGGCTGGGAGCTGTTTCTGGGTTTTGTGCTGCGATATAGCACGCAGAGTTCATTCCCAGCGGGTGCCTTCCAAACTGAGGACTCCGACTTTCTATCCAAAAACCCAGCTAATGTAAACCGATACCAGGAATCACCACCTTCCTGGTATAAAACTAACGCATGCTGTCAAATCTCCCTCTAATATACGAGGGCGGTGAACCTGGTGTCGTAACCATCAAGTGGGACTTTGGCCAGGATGACCTTAGGACTCCAGCTAAACACAATGGCTAAGCCCGCAACGTGTGCTGAGGCCCGCGCAACTAGAATCCTGGAAAAGCCATCCTAGGACGATCCCATGTAAATTACGAAGGGTGGTTAAGGCCTAGACAATTCACATACCAACCTCTCCACCCCGGAGAGGAGTGGCTCACTGGAGCGGAGTTTGAGCCCAGCCAGCGTTAGGGTAGTTTGAGCCTTCTACATAGTGGATATCACTACCACTGCTTAACACTTCTTATTATGAGAGCTACAAGGAAAAAGAACACGACCGGAATTCAAGGACAATCATGAAAAAAAGGCCTTCAAATAGAAACTGGACCCACATGCCAATCCGAAGCCCTTCATGGATTGAGGGTGCGAGAAAACAAGCAGAGCAAACGAAGTGCAGTGATCCGCTCAATATGTTGTAAGGGGTCGTATAAATTAATGAATAACTAAGGAATTATTATTTACTTAATGTTTCTCACTACATCAAGAATAGCAGTAATCCTGACTTTCGAAGACACTCTCAATTTTATTACAATTCCTAACATTTAGCCTTCTGGAACCCATAACACCGGAGCAGATTACGGTACCGGATATTAGGCGTCGATTAACACGTAGTGTTCACTTCACAATCTGTTGGGCAGGATTACAAGTACTAGTGGCATTAATCCATATTTGTGTCATATGTCATACAGGAATGAGTACGAACGAAATGGTAAAGCTACAGTTGAATATGTGATGTGCTCGATGGCACTGAGAGGATTTTGAAAAGTTCTCTCTTTTCAGACACGCTGTATTGTGAATGCTGTTCTGCGAATTGTTCCAGAAGCAAATGTGGATCTCGATCGATTTCTAGTGAATTTACCTTTATTCTTGCTTTGATTAGAGGTGTCTTTAAATCCGATCGGGTAAAGAGATTAAGCAATGTAAAGGTCTCGTTGATCCAGCTCTCATCAGCTCATAGCATTCTTTGAAAGTTACTTATGGGATACTGCTAACGCTTCTTCCCTTTAAAATTGCACATGATTAGTCAGAATTTGGACAAAAGAACAAAAACGACGCCTAACCATGACATCTTTTTTGCATTTGAAGGATTTTATCATTCTAGGCAATAAGATTTTAGTTACGTATGACATTGATATGTACATAGTGGGCGCGCTTGGCGCAGTGGTCGAAGGCTCCCTGCAACGCACACGTCGAATCGATCATCGCGCCCATGGTCCACCAAGCCTTCCAACCCTTCGGGGTCTGCGAATTGTTACCAAACCTGTCTAGGAGGATAGCAGCACTGGCTCGACAGATCGGAAGGCCACCGCGATTCATTGTAAAGGCCAGTGTATATACATATTCAATCACCTCCAAATGATGCTTAATGAAAACGAATACATGGGATCCCATTCATCCATCAGCGATTGATCAACGCCGAGAGCTTTGTCCTTTATTTATATACATAGTTACATATATATATACACACCTAGTTGTATATATATATATATATATATATATATAAAGTTGAAGTCGTTAGTTGTATATATATATATATATATAAAGTTGAAGTCGTTACAGTATCCGGTTCTTTTCAGATTTCTTGTTTTGTACACAAATTGTCCACTCAGTTCATGTGGGGAATGACTGTATGGCGTGCTTTTCCTCTTGAACGAACGACTTTCTTCACGGTATGTCTTGTTTTAAAACTTTTTTAAGCAGGACTTTTCTTATCATTATGACTAAGCTTTTGTGAAAATTCAATTTCAGCTAGTATCCGTGATTGTCACCTATGCATTTCTGCTCTTGAAGTTGAAAGAGAATCCGGCTATGACTCCTATAACTCGCTCATTTATCTTTCATAACGGGACTATTTTCACTACAATTTCTCCTTAGCGTCAAAACACTGCTGTGAAGACGGTAAACTCACTAGTTCTTTTTTGAGTGTTAACATTAACAGCCAGTGAGAAGACTATTTTTTGCTTTAAATAAACAGGTTCTCCATTTTCTCTTGATTTTACATGACCCATCTTCACGTCTGCTGGTCAAGTATCTGCGCTTACATTCGATTTGTCTCTGCGGATCTATCATTCGGGGCAATCTTTGGACTTTTGGGGTACGAATTCGGTTGCTGCTTGAGCAATTCCTTCGTCTATACTTTGAATGTCGTCGAATGCTGGTCGAGTTGATTCTCTCTGCTGTCTTGCGATAGCCGTGCTACACATTCCTACGGGATTTCGAGAAGTTAGCTCGTTCCAGACACGTTTTGCACGAATTTCGCGAACCCAATGGGATAACATGCTCGATGGTCCGCAGCAAGATGGAACAAGCGCCGTGCTCGTGATGTAGTTCACCACTGCCACTGAGCTATCCGCTTACTACTTATTAATTATACTTATTATTTTTTTTGATAGATAACTGGGAATAAGATAATGTTAAACCGAACTAGTGGAATAAAATGGAAGATGAAATCTAATCAAATGGAAAAGTGTTGGATAGCATTTATTTCCACTCAGATCTATACTATAAATATTGCCGCAGTGTACTTGCTAAGATGGATAGCACTTTTTTCCTTACATTCCCTATTTGCACCTGTTTGCACTAAACTTGACTACACTGAGCTTAATTTACTACTTCCATAGTCATTCTTTAGCTGATCTTCTAACAGGGAGACTGACTTTCGTCATAAGTTGGAAACGTTGGCAAACCAATGGCTTATGGGAAACTTCCGACAATTCCTCGACAATTTTCCAATAGCTTTCTTTTTAGGAGCAGTGGCAGTAATGTTGTTTGTCACAAATACTGCGCTGGTTCAACTCCGCCTCAATATCACCAAACATCCCATTCCTCCATGGTTGGGAACTTGGTCCCAGACTTGTCTTCTTGCACCAGTTAACTCTCTGTAGTCAATGTAGGTGCACTGAGGCATGGATATGTCAGGACTCCAAGGAGAGTCGGCTTATCTAGCATTCAACAACATTCATAAACACGTCGTGGATCCTCCATTAGCAGCTGATTACTTATTGTAAAAGTCAGAAGACATTCGTAAATAATAGATGGGAGAAAAGCATCGAATGCAAGACATGTTAGGATCAAAGTGAATGTGGATTATAGCCCGTTTTTTTTTGCTTGAGCAAAAACAAAATCGATGCGAAAGTGAAACGGAAAGCTAAGAAACAGAGTCACTGTTAAATTTCGTGAAACTCAACGTTATATAATAGGCACCCTAAAAAACCAGTGTTTAGAGATGCTGTTTAGCACTATGTCACTACGACCAATCTCCACCCATCACCCCTCCTCCGGTGCCAACCAAGCCCCATTCTCCCATTTGTCCAGGCTTAACAAACAGCTCCCTCCACTCTACAGACGCTGATGACTACCAGCAGTGAAGCAAGCCAATAGAACGTTTTAACAGAATTATCCCAGGACTCCAGTGAGAGTCATCTCGACCAGCATCTTAGAGATATTCATGAAAAATGCGAAGCTTTCAAATGGCTGACGAATCAAAAACATCTTGGACGACGGATGCGAGACATCGTACTAAAAGAAAAAAGTGCTGGAATCCACACAAGCATGATTTTCAGCCAAAGAAATATATAGATATAGGTAATAAACAATAGTAGATAACAGTTCTGCCGTTGTCACAACCGAAACTGTGGCTATTTATAAATTGAATTATTTTATATGTGTCAGCTAATGACTCTAGGCACCTTCTTCTTTACTAAATTCCCAGAGGGTGACAAGGTGAACTTACTCTGATAAAAATCGTTGGATCTCTGTGATTGCGGTAGTCGAAAAGTTATTATAACTCTTCTCCAGTAACGGTAATTTCCTTCAGGAAGTAACTTCTGTTCGGTCGACTCTCTCGATAACCAAGATTATCCACTTCTTTTTCGATGGCTTTTTGCATAACGGCAATTGTTTTCGTGAATTCGTGAATGTTGGTGGTCAACTACTCGCCGAACACCATTCGCAAACCCTCACTGTCACCTATCAACAATGTTCTTGATGTGGTCGATATTCCAAGGCCATTTGGATGGATTGGAGACGTATGGCCTATCAAGAGACGCTATGGAATAGTGAACAATGTGATTCATTCACTGAAGATGCTATTCATTGCGGGTATTAGCAAAGTTCATTGAACGTCTCGTAGTGGATGTACAACTAAGATTTAGTGGTGCAGTTGAAGTCATAGTTAGGTAGCTAGTGAGCTAGTGAGAATGGCTACTCGTCTCAATGTAGCCTTAGACAGAATCAGAGAGAACGTACCCACTCATTTTTATCTGAAGCTCATTAAGCACAATGCATTTTATGTCAAAATAATGATTGATTTCAAATTTAAGCCAACATATCCCGAATTGAACTTGAGCTTCATTAATTACAATAAAATCCATTAGACTCTACAAGTCATTGCCCATAAGAAATGAATCCTACTGTTTTTTAAGATGAAGTCCTGATTATCTGAAACCCGCGAGCTGTATTTTTTCTCCTATGATTTCTTTAAGAATCATATTTCGCAAGACAAGGGAACTGAATAAGCAATATCTCGTCTGAAACGACAAGATGTTCTGCTCCAATGTGCCTTTGATGGTTTCGGTTTCCGTGTTTGCGTTGAAAATTTTTAGAACTTCAGTTTCGTTTCCGACTTCTGGTTGGGAAATCTAATTCCAAACATATAAAACACTAAGAGAGTATCCTATAAAATATATATATATAAATATTGTTAAGGTGATACAAGAGCCCTATACAAAGTTTTCAATTCCCTAAGTACTCCACTGATCAAGTTTATTAACGTTCTATTTGCTTGCCAACTATGAATTTTTACGGTGAGCTACAATGCGAAATACAACCACAATGATGCTGAGATATTTGCAAAGATCCGGACCGCAGGTGCCTGCGGTGGGGAACGAACGCGCTGTCACCTTTTCCGGGGGCTAACGCATAAGGTAGAAAGTTAGCTTTGTGATTTCAACTACAGCCTCAGCTTAACCGGGCTCATTGCCAATTTGGGCCTCTCAGATCAATCCCATTGAGAGGTGATTGCTGATGGCGCTGATAGATAGAATTAGCTGAGAGACAGGCGAAACGAAGGACCAGCATGGTGTGGTGTTGACCGCGTTAACCCTCGGAAAGTGTGATAGCGCGTCCGTTCCCCACCGCAGTCACCCACGGTCTGGAGTTTTGCAAATATCTCAGCATCACTAGCTCGTATGTTATATGCGTTAATGAAAGACTCCACAGAGCAGCACCAACTAAAAAAGCGTCAATCCTGTTGACGGGTGATTGCTGGTAGCACCTATGGGTCAATAACATGCCTGTGGAAAAGGTGGAACGAAGGACTCTCGCATAGTGTAGTGGGTAACGCACTAACCCCCGGAAAGGGTAATAGGGTGTTCAGTCACCACCGCTGACACCAGCGGTCAGGAGTTTTCCAAAAATCTCAGCATCGTTGAGAAACTTATTTTAAAAACAACTTTAGGCTTTTTTTCAGTAATATTATAGCCTAATAAATACAACTTTTTCTAGTAAAGGTATATGTGTCTCTTGTTGACATAAGTACTCTTTAATTTTGTTGTTTATAGGTTCGCAAAAACTGTTCGAATACTTACCGTACCAGAAATTCGATCAGAAGAATGGATTTCATCCTGAACTCGAAGCGTGTGATATGTTTACTTTCATTTTGGAAAGTTTTTTTAAAAGAAGGCAATAAAGATATTTCAACGGTACGCTTCTCTACATGTTCAATTATCCATCTAAACAGTTCCTTTCCATTCTTCTTTCACTAAACCATGTAGCGCATGGTATTCTTTATTAAATAAATATGAAAAATTCATGCAAAACAGCGAGAAACGCTAGGGCCACGCCATGATGATATTTTCGTTTTATTCCTTACCGATTCACAATTTTTACACGATTCACCATTTTTTTGTTTATACTAGACCACTAGAATGCTGGTTTGGATTTTACGATCATTATTCCCACTTTCAGTCCTGTAAAAGTGCATGTCGCGGATCAATCTCTCATCGATCCGCTCTATATTTGACTTGGCATTGTCGCAGAGGTGAATGAAAGCGTATTTCGCCTACATAATAACTTGTTTGGGTTTACTATCGAGTAAGCTTCTCTATCCTCTCAAATAAGTTTGGTACCAGTTTACAGTCTCCGAAAGAATGAAGCGTTGTAAGCACGAGGGGTTGTGTTGAACAGCTGACCGCATCTGTATTGCAGGCCATCTCTAACCGTAGTGTTACATGCGTCCTCTTTAGCGCTACACTTCTTCAATCAAAAGTAGAAAAAGATATAAGTGAACAATGACGAATTTTGAAAACCACAAGAAAAAAACCCTAATGTCTCGCCAAACTAGGAGCTTTTGCCAGTCTTCACCACTTGTCAGCAAACGGCGTGTATTGGTCTGATTATGCAGAGTGGTTCTAGTTTTCATGAATGCGGGGATAGTGACCAAGTCTTGTGGATCGGAAGAAGGTTCATCGCACTGTGTTCGGGTTTCGTCCACGGCGATTCCTGTTCTATTCTCACCTTAGTTTGCGCATCGAAATATCGATCTCAACCAATTTACGTGACAAAGGCGTGGATGAGCATCCGCATGTTTATCACAGTTCGGCACCAAACAGCGGAAGTGAGTTTTTTTTTGCGTAAGCAGATGTGGCGTCGTTATCGTCCACCTGACATCTGGGATACCTTAGCTCAAACAGGAAATGTAGAACTAGTGTATGAAGAGCTTCAGAGTCACAATAAAGAACTGATGAATTTCTTCCATCTCATAGATAAAGATTACCCAGACATCGTGACCTTCGTATGAGTAGGTAAAAACCTTGAGCTACTATAACATTTCCCTAGCATTTCATGTAGCAAATTCTAAGGACGACTTTCTACTGGCCTCCGCATTGACCAATAATTCACTGTTCTTCCTAATGAACAAACAAGAGCTTGGTATTGCAGCGTTTAGTAGTAAACAAAAGCTGGTAGCTTCATCTTCTTCAGAGCTTGGAACGGTCAAAGTGACACGTAATCTACTCAGCCAAACACCTTTATTACCTCAGCAGACAAAACATAAATTTCCATTCGCATAATAAACAGCTTCTTTTACATCCACCGTTTTGTTTATCGCAAGGCTTCCAATTATTTGGTGAGGACCAACCGAACGGGGTCATAGATGGGCGAGGAATGTGCCAAAATCAGGTCAGAGAATCATCCTGAGGTATGGCGGTAGGTCACACGTGGCCACAAGACACACCTCGTTGCGGTTCATTTTTGGGTTTTTGGAATTTATCCTGAGCCCTTCAAGTGTTTTAAGCGCTGATGCTTTGAATTCCTGTGCGAGGATAGTGAATTTCACTTCTAAATCTTCTGTGTTACGTTTCCGTGTCCTATGCATGCCTACTGAACTGTCTTGTTTGACTCGAAGCTTCCTAGCTAAGCGCTCTTCAATACAAACGGATAATGGCCTACCGTTTGGCTGATATATACATAAATATATATTATATATGTATATATCAATTAAAGAGGTTAAGTATAGGTTAGTGCCAAATCAGTGGCGGTTTTGGAAAGTGAGTATTAAAACATTTTAGCAAGAGCAGGGCGTTAAGGTTAAAGATACCTTGCGGTACAAACAAGATTGTTGGTTCGACTCATATCCCGGGCCATCCAAACCTCCCATCCCTCTGAAGATGGAAGAGTGGCATTAGATTTCTCTGAAAGGAGAAAACGCCGACTTGCGTATCCATTCAATCACCTCTAACGATGCTTGATGAAGTCGAAAGCAAGCGCATCCCTCAGGAATTGTTCAATGTAAAAGGCTTCGTCTACACTTGCTAACTGGAATCAAACAACTTTATCAACTAAATAAGAACATTCAGGATCTCCATAGTTTTACCCTAATTTAACTAAAATGAATAAGTTCTGAATTTCTCGAGCCTATGAAATCTTCATAGTGCAGCTTGTAATGAGTTTATTCCGACTAGTAAAGTTTGTTCGAGTCCAGTTATAACGACTTAGGATTCACGACTTGAAACCATGCTATTTTTGAAGTGGGAGTATAAAACCTATAGAACCCTAAATTTTCAGTGCGCGCCAAAAAAAAAACTGGTTTCTTCTCTCTCACGACTAATGCTCTGACTTTTAATGGTACAATTACTCGAAGAGATAGAAGAAACCTTGAAATGCATTTGCAAATTGGAAAAATAAACCTCGATAGACACAGAAAACTGAAAATCCTTTGTTCTCTGAGCTCAACGTTGAACACGGCTTTCATGGATTACGGAGGATTTACCACGAATATAAAACGATTTTGATTTGTTTTTTCGGCTAAAGGGTTTGCTTTTATAATGTGATCCACCTAGAATGGTTTATGTGATTAGAACTTGGTTTAATTACCTTTTTGAATACTTATTATACCTACCGTGCAAGCAACTACCAACATTTCTTCTTTCTTCATTGCACTACAGCTGTCACTCACAGAAGTAACAAGATCCGGTTCGGATATGGGATAGGATACAATCTGAAGACTTGCTACCTTCTCTTCCGATGTGCTAAATGAATGGACGATAAATGATATGACATAGCCTATAACCCTTAGATAACAGTGTGTGCAGTGAACTATTGGGAATCGTAGAGCACTTTTTTATTTCGTCATGAGGTGCCTTAAAGAATAAAACTAATGGAGCACTTCGGTTTACGTTTAATGTAATTTCAACGCAACGTTGTTGAACGTTTTTGCACATTAGCTGGGTGTCCTTGATCAACGAATACGAATCAACGAATCTCCTTGAACAACACCAATCGACCCAAGAACATTTTTCTATGACACCAAAGTGTTTAGAAACATTTCTCATAACCTAAAACTCTTTAGTTGCCATTTTTGTCCGACTACTTCAATAATTTACAAATAGAGACACCACAGACGGTACAATGACGTTATAGCTATTGACGCTCCCAAAGTAATAAATCCGCCTCGTGTTTCATGAGTTCAAAATAGGGCATAAAGCAACGGTAAAGGCAACGCAAAGTAAGCAGCTGGTTCAACAAAGAATTATAAGATTTCGATGACGAAAAATGTTGTGAGAATCCATTACATCATCTGAAGAGAATTATTGACGATAACTGTCGACGAAAAACTAATCATGAGACTGAGAAAGAACTCGACAATCGCTATTAAAATATTGCTTGCTGTTGAAGAGCTGCCACACGATTTGAATGAATTGCAGATCGTTCGTAATGAGTTCTTTCTGAGCAACAAAAATAACAGTGGAAACTGGATCTCACAACAATCGACGACATTCAGCGCAGTAGTTAGACCGAGATGAGGTCCTCAGGCACTTTTCAAGAACGTATATGGACTGAAAAGGTTATACTTCGTTTTCTAAGGTCTACATGTCTAATAAATTACTACACTTTCCGAAAAAGCAGATAAATACTGGTGACGGGCGAGTGACAAGAACATCGATGGACGATGTATAGCAAGGAATTCTCTTGTACTACAGCATTCTACCGCACGTCAAACAGCTAGCGTTGCAGAAGCTTGAAGAACTGAGGTACGAAACGTTCTCTTATTTACCGTGCTGACCAGACTCTTGCCAACTGCATGTCACTTTTTTCCTTAACTCGACAACTTCTTATCGAGAAAAGGTCCAGAAAACATATCGCCGGCAGTATTGTCTTTTAAGAATTCGTTGCTTCGGAGCTCCATGCTCCCGGAATATAAGTACAGTTGTGGCTTCCTTGAATAATGTGTAGATTTCAACGGTTCTTATCTCTATTAAATAAAGATGTATTTGAATCGGATTATCCAACTTAAATGTTCGCGTTCAAAAGTGGCAAGGTCAGCGCCGGTCAGCGAAGACGTCGTTAAGTCGAGGACTGAAATGTCCTCGATTATCGAACAGGTTTTGTCAACGCCACTCCCGACCGAACAACTAAAAAAGAACAGTTCGGCTATAAAAGCCAACACGGGCTTAGTAAGGAGTTGTGCTATTTATTTGTGTCCTGTGCCTTCAACTTCTCGAATAAGAGCTCTTCTAATAACTTCTTACTATTTTAAAAAATCGTTATCTCTTTTTTTTGGGAAAAACTCGGCCGTTCTTTTTATTAAATCATCGCATTTTTAAGATGAAAGCTCTGTTTACGGTTCTGGTGCCTATGTCCCTAATCATAATGACGTCTGGTCAAAGACGGAAAGGTGCTCAAACAGGTTCGCATTTTCCACAAACAGGTTCCACAAGAATCCACATTAGTAGATAAGGTTATTGTTTTAATTTACGCTTGCAGGTAGTCCTTCAAACTCTCAAGAGATGACGCAGACGCGTGGAAGCGGACAAGGCTTTAGTGGATACGACGGCATAGATGGATATGGTGGATACAACCCCTATGGTGGATATAACCCTTATGGTGGATATAATCCCTATGGTGGATTCGGTGGAAGAGGTGGATATAATCCGTATGGTGGAAGCGATCGCAGAGGTGGATACAATCCCTACGATGGATTCGGTGGCAGAGGTGGATATAACCCTTATGATGGATTCGGTGGAAGAGGTGGATATAATCCGTATGGTGGAAGCGGTCGCAGAGGTGGATATAGCCCCTATGATGGATTCGGTGCTAGAGGTGGATACAGTCCTTACGGTGGATTCACTGGAAGAGGTGGATATAACCCCTATGATAGATTCAGACGCAGAGATGGATACTTCCCGTATGCTGGATACGTTGGTACATTTGGATATAGTCCCTAAGGTGGATTATGAGGCGAGTACCTCAAATATTCGTGCCAAATAACGTCTTCTAGCACTTTATAATTCCTAGATTTCACGAAGAATCGATGAAACAAACACTGCTAGAAAACATAGCCAGCTCGTGAGCAATCAAAACTTCATTCTGTTGTTTTTTTAGGACCAAGAATACCTGATCCTGGCCGATGGATGGCGAATTAGTTGCAAAATGATCGCTTGCATTTATATTTGTTTTTTTGCAATGAAATAAACAGTGAACGGGGAAATGATTACGGATAAAGACCTTTTACTGAACTGGAAAAAATAATTGTCAAAGAGAAACATGTGTTAACAATTATGCTTTCGAGACGAATGATACACCTTTACAAGCGTAGCAGTTCGCAATAGAATTTGTATTCGTCCCGTTCTTTCGCGACCATTGTCCATCTGAACAGTGTGTACCCTGACTATGTCGATGTCTTTAAGTATCATCCCGTGATTCATTACTCTTCTCAGCAGTGAATACACTTGGCTGGTGTGAGATATAAATGCTCGCCTTTCTTCTATTTACATTTTGGGCCTAAACAGGGCGCTGTATTTTTCTGAATTTAATCAACATTTCTTTACGAGGGCCTGCCATAAATTCTTGAGCGACATACCTATTTCGTCCTTGATGAGAAATTCTCGGTGGATCAAAACGAGAAAATATTTTTCGATATTCTTGATGAACAAACAGGAGGTGTTACTTTATTCTTTATTCGGTTAAAGCCAACGTTTCGGCGGTATCGGCTTCTAAAAAATATTTTTGAGAGTTGCAATTCATATCCCATCTTGATAAGGGCGGGTATGGTGCAGTGGTCGGAGACTCTCTGCAATATACACGTAGAATCGACCCAGTGCCTATGGCCCAGCAAGCCTTCCATCGCTCCAGGGTCGGCAAATTGGTACCAGACTCGTTTGGAAGGATAGCTGCACCGGCTTGGTACATCGGTAGGCCACCGCGATTCATTCTAAAGGGCAGATGTGCATTCCATCACTTCCAAACGACACTTAATGAAGTCGAATACCTCAGGGATTGATCAACGTCGAAAACTTCATCCTTTTTTCTTTATCCTACCTTGATAATGTGTGTGATATGTGTGCGTTCATTATACACTTCAGAAGACATCGTTTAAGTGTCTTACATACAAGTGGTGGTATCTGAAAATTCCTACACCGCTATGTGTCATTCGTGTGATTCAAAGTCTCATCTGCATAGCAAAGGACGAGTGGACACGTTAAAAGCTGTGTGAACAAATTGAAAAGGTGTGCACAGACTCCTGACCTTCTAGACAAAACTTTTTTCTGCAATCGATTGTTGGCTTTCGTAGCAGCCAGGACCCGTTCCTCTAATCTGCTTTCTCTACACAAGACCCCTCTTTCTTAACGAGGCTCACCCTTTTTGCAAAAATATGCGGCCTCTTTGGAACCATCTATTTCTATCAAATTTTCGTTGCATCATTGGCTCTCCATAAACTGAACCATTTCTGCGAATTTTTCGCACTCCAAGCTTCCTCTCAGCTTCTCTCAGCACTCTCTGAATAGTCTGTTTCACTAGTCTTCGCTAAAATATGACGACATCGCAATATGAAGATTCGACAAAAATTTCCTCGCCATATTTTTCTCTTTCCAATCGACCGGCTTCGTTTATATACAGGAATGTGGCCGTGAAAATCATCTACACAATAGTGTCATCACATCAGCATTTTTTTCGTGTCGATATGGCAAGTGTTTGATGGAAGTTTTTTTGGGTTACAGTTGCGATAACTGTTGGACAAAATTACAGTTAAGGGCAGATCCACTAGTCAGGCACTGATAAAAATTCATTCGTTCTCATCCAAAGCCTTTAATACTTGCGCAACGATATTTTATTGAGAGCTTATACTGTACATTAACAAGCAAATAAAGTAATGGCTGTAGAAATCGATGTAGGTCATCCATCTTGAATGGGGATGTCGTTCTAAGGCTGTTCTTTGGTCAAGGATCCCTTCATTCCGAAAGTATATTATTATCTTCTTTGGAATAAGTGAGTGTACTTTGCAGTATTCAACTGAAAGGAAGTAGGCTAGGATGTTGTTCTGTCTTAGAGATACGCCTCTCTTCATGCCCTTAACCATAACTTAAAATAGAAGAAGAGGATGAGAGGTGATTATTCTTCAGAAAGGGACGTATTTGCTTAAATCCGGACGGGATTTCTCTGGAACTGTTACTCTTTTGAGTTCAAATTTGTCGACGTGGACTGTTGTGTTCAATTCGTTGGTGGTGCTGTTATAAGTGCTACCCGAACTTCTAAAGTGAAGAACTGAGGCGCATTCGGCAAAAACTTATGAGCCGTTTGACGAACAGTTCGTAGTGTCTTATTTGCTACTCCTTTAATTGTCAGGTTTTTGGAGAAAGGATCCCCTCCTCACAATGTAAATGTTTTATGCACAAGAATTCACTAGGGTCTACGCTCAAATCTCAGTTTTCTAATTTAACTTTACAATTCAGTGCTCTCTTTCATACGATAGCTAAAATAGACCGTTTTCAGGTCATCGTCACAGGCAATGAAAGCTCTTTATGGATTAGATGGAGCTCTTACCAGTGGTACTAATTCACCGTCTGTGCAGGGATAAGGGACTTGGTCTGCTTTGGGGAAGTCAAACAAGCGTTCAAGTGTATTATAGGGCATGCAAAGCGATTGTCTCGAACATTCCAATAAAACTCTCGAAGTCTTGATCATCTACGGAGATCTCGTAGGCATAGAGAACCGTCACTGTGATACACGTTTAGGCTTTTACATGGAGCAAGTAAATCACAGCAAATATAGTACGAATTTGTATTTGGACGTAATGAACGTTCAGTCTTCAAGAAGAATCGTGTATCTTCAGGACAATTTCAACGCGTTTGTTAATAGCCTAGTGATACCCTGTTCCTGATGTGTCCCGATAGCTGTGATAGGGCTTATTCAAGCTGCCACCATAGGTAGTAGCCAACTGTTGTAAATTCAAAACAGCCTTGTCAGTTTGACAAAAGTCGCAATAAGTCATTAAAAGCAAGTTAAAAATCAAAAACCCACTGATAAATCGTATTGTCTCACAAGGACCACACCAGGCATTATCAATTGGTTTATGTTGGCGGACTCGCACGGTGCATCTATTCGACTTTCAGAGTGTGCAATACGGTGCACTGGTGAATTAAACTGTACCATTCGAAGCGAGTACTTGCACTCCACCAGCGTCCTTTATGGTTGATTCGTCGGAGAAACAAACTCGTACGAAAAACCCTTCCTGTAAATTATCAAGTACGGACAAAAGCTTTCCACGGCCAACCGCCACTACGACACGCTTGTAAACTACCGATTAATTACAACAGAAAAAAGCTCTATGGCACCACAATAATACACCAGATAGAAAACGACCTCTATAGCAGTTATATTGGCCACAAAGCCGCTTCACGTATGACTCCATATAAGGTCATATCTCGAACTCGTCGGTATGATGTCACATTCCGTATGCACTTCACTTTACATAATTCTTGGCCCACATTCAATGTACTTTATATCACAACAATAGGCCTCTGTATAATTTAATGTAAAGACTTTTCCATAATATTCTCACTTTCCACGAATTTCCCTCATATGAGTGATCCTGATAGCCGGTTAGTCGCGAGGCTACGTGGCGCGTCCCAGGTGGCGGATAGAGGCTAATCGCGGATCAAAAGCGACCTTTGCTTCCCTGAGATGCAAGCGAATCCAAGGGATGGACTCCCTGCTTCCGCTACGCCGATTTGGCACATACATTCTGTATTTAAGAAGCGTATTCAAGCACACGTGTGTGGGTGAATTCTAGTTTATGCGGATTGCATTCTACTCATTAGTCAATTCGGCCAAAAGCCTACAATCGAGTGACAGGGAAGTATATGAGAGGCGGTTAGGAGTCACCTCCAACAAATAAGCAACATGACCAATCTGAAAGAGCCTGGCAAGCAACCGGTGAGCATACACAGCCTTCACGTTGAGAGCCCAGCAAGCTATACGTGGGTACCAAAAAGCTAAAAACATTATAAGAAACGGACCTCATTTCCCTGACCACGAAAGAGTCCCAATTCGGCAGCGTAGGGTAGGACGAGTACGCAGTATGAAAGCCTGCTAAAATCTCAAGGTCAATGGAAGCTGCCTGAATTGCAAAATACTAAGGCGACGATCTGTACCTAAAATGCACATACACTTGCATCCGAATCCTCGATAGAAGACTTGCTAATGCAAGCAAGAAGAATAAGGTACGACGTCAACGACCTGGCCAAGGCAAGACGGTACTGCCCATTCAACGCCATCTATGACACCCGAGAAGAACTGTTCCTCGGAACATGCAACAGTAGAGGAGTCTCGTCTCCACGAGTTTGTCCATGAACATTGATTCATTCGAATAACTACCAATCCAAATCGGACGCTTACGATTAAAAAGATGTGGACCAATACCAGCTCCGACAATCTTAGTCGTTTATGCGTCGACATCAAACTATGACGAAGAAGAAGTCGAAGCGTTTTATTTGGACTTAGAGAAGTTCCACAGAGAAGACCATACATTCTTCAAGGTCATTATTGGAGATTTCAACGCCAAGATTGGATCAAGAAGAGCGTCTGAAGAACGTCACACTGGGACCCACGGAATAGAATGGAACGAACAGGGTAAGCGGCTGTTTGGGTTTATCATGACGAGCAAGACCTTTCGTGGTAACTCGCAATTCCAGAAGCGCCATCCTCAACGCTGGACTTGGGAGTCCAATGTAGAGTACCGTAACGAAATAGACCACATCATAGCAAATAGAAGGCTTTGCCTAAGGGATGTCGCTGTCGTCCCAAAATTCTACGCAGGATCAAAACCATAAAACCTAACGTCCGAACTTGCAAAACAATGCAGACAGGCGATAAAAGAAGAATTAAAAGAGAGAAGAGCAGCAGTAATGGTCGAAGCTGCATAGGCTGGGAAAAGCATTCGCAAAGCCCATCGAAGCTTCGCCCATTACAAGACCAAGATGATTGCACTCCAACGCCAAGACGGAACAGTTACAGCGTCCAGAAACGCAATGAGGAAAACTATTCATGAATACTACTCAGATCACTTCGATAGCCACGTCCAACTTCCGTAATATGAGATAAAGGAGGATGGATATGTTGTACCACCAGTTCTCCCTTCCGAAATCCGACATGCTATTTCGTCGGTGAAAAATCGAACAGCATCAGGTCCGGACAGGATATGACCGGAACACCTGAAGGATCCTCCGCCAGCCTTCATAAACACACTGGCTCGGCTGTTCATACGTTAAAAAAAATATCACCATTCTATAACGACAGTGATATTGACGTCAAAAGAGGGGTTACGCAAGGCGATACCATCTCATATAAATTATTTACCGCCACCCTCCAATATGTTATGCGAACATTGAAACTGGATAATATGAAGTGAAAATCGATGGTCGGCAGTGACAGAATCTTCGCTTTGCTGATGACATCATTCTTATAACACCAAACACTGGCCAAGCAGAACGGATGCTTGCCTACTTTGATAATGCTTGTGGAAGGAATGGACTTCGACTAAATCTCACAAAAACGATGTTCATGAAGAACGGATTGGTTTCGCATACCACATTTACATTCCATGGAAGGAATATCTCCGAGTGCTCCAGTTATGTCTAACTAGGTCGGGAAATCAACACGTTCAACGACTTAGCTCCAGAGTTGAGCACAAGGAAACGAGCGGTTTGGGGAGCTTTCAAGAGCAGCGAGGATGTAGTGAATAGGACAAAGAACACGCGACTCCGTGCCCACCTTTTCGACTCAACGGTACTTCCTACCTTAACGTATGCGTCAGAAACCTGGTCGCTGCGTAAGAAGCATGAAAGACCACTCAGCGTTATCGAACGCACAGTCGAAAGGACGATGCTAGAAGTATACCGTTTCACACAAATAAGTGATAGGATCCGAAGCTCCGAGCTGCGTCAACGATCAAAAATTAACGATGCCGTTCTGTACGCCAAACAGTCGAAGATAAAGTGGGCCGGACACGTAATGCGTATGAATGACAACCGATGGACAGGAGCCGTTAGTGACTGGATTCTCAGGATGTCGAACGTACTGCAAGACGTCCACCGACCTGATGGCCAGAGTTCTTCACGAAGAGCCTAGAAGAAAAATATGATGCTCGACGAGTCCCTAGAGCGAGCAGAACCCACTGGGATACTCTTGCACGCGACAGGGAAAAATGGAAGGTTTAGTGGTGCCCGCTCGAGTCACTCGACGGGACTACAGGTGATACAGGTGATTCTCACCTTTGGAATTCCATAGATTTATATGCTTCGGAGGTGCTTTACCGTAGTGGTTTAATTGGTTGCAAGATAACGACAATGAATGTGTAATTAAAGCCTCAGTAGTTGGTTAACACATCCTGGCCTTACGAATCAATATCAATGCAAAATATGACGTCTGTAGAGCGTATGTTCTGATTCCGTTCCGCTCTACAAGCTAATGTCAAGGGATTAGAGATAATCATGCATGTATCACTTAAACGCCTGAGCATCGATTATCCAGAAATCCATCTCTTATTGTTGGCGTTCACTGATAGGGTTACACAAGATTATTACAGACTTCGATTGTGATTGACGTTTCTACAGTTTCGCTTTCTTCAGAACCCCGATAAATTGAGTCCAGCGTTCACAGCAGTTGTTTGTTTTTGCTCTATGGTTCTTCTTAGTCATCAAATAGAATCGAATCGATTAGGATCGCGTAGAGTCGAACACCGTTCGAATGAAATACCGTCACCAGCACTGCCTCGTCAGAGAGGACAGTTTTTGCTTTGCTAAAATGACCTGACCTCGTCCTCGTCCGGCACTTCCGCAGGATCCTTAGTCGAGTGCCACACAAAGTCGTTTCTACTGCCCATTATTTTTCTCACGGTAGGGCATTATGTGAAATATAACCACAGCGATGCTAAGATTCGGGTGATTTCATCCCATCACAATGTATCACAAGGTACACAAGGTAAGGGGCGCGTGTAGCGCAACGGTCAAAAGCGCCCTACAATACGTATGGGATTGATCTCGAGCTCCAGAGTCATCAAGCCTTTCATCCCTCCAGGAAGGACCAATTGGAACCAGACCTGTCTGAGAGGATAACAGCACTGGCTCGATACATCGCTAGGCCACCGCGAATCATTGGAAAGGCCAGATATGCATTCAATTACCTTCAACGATGCTTAATGAAGTCGAATGCATGGCGCATGTCAGGGTTGCGCTAGTTAGTGCCGAGAGCTTTGCCTTTTATTTTCATTTATTATAAGGTACTAGAAGCATCCGACTCTTCAGAGGCTTTGCTTTCATGGCGACAATCCATCTTGTAGTTTTCATAATGACAGTGGTTGAAGTATAGCCAAATATGCTTTCTCTAGCCAGATTCATTTAACCTCAGTATGGACAATTAGTCTTTTAGGTTACTGGTAACCATACCTAAAGTTGTTAGCAGTCGGTAACATAAGCTGGATCAAAATGAACAGGAAGAACGTGGATATGAACGGGAAAACCAGATCGATATTTAATTATTGATCGATGCCGAAGTTAAAGGAAAGTCGGTCTTGGGATTTGGATATGATCCCTTTGAATGAATCAACGGCAGCACACTGAAATCTGAGAAGGGATCGACAGATTTCTATAGAAACAAAGCAATAAAGAGCTGTATTTGTGATGAAAGAGTCGGAAACAGAAATCGACTACAAATTATAGCAGTAGGAAATAACTAGACAGATAGTCTTCACCATGCTGTCCTCCGTAGTAGTACTCCCTCAATAGTCAGCACTACAATGCTCAGCTCTTCGTTCTTATGAATTTTTATATCAATACACATTCACAGTTTACCTCTTAGACCGATGTGCATTGAATTCAAGCCCTAAGTAGTTCACCAGTAGGGCGCATGTGGCGCAGTGGTCGAAGACGCCCTGCAACACACACGTGGAATCGATCCCCGCGCCCATGGCCCACCCAACCTTCCGTCCCTACGGGGTCTGCAAGCTGGTAGCAGACTTCTTTGGGAGGATAGCAGCACTGGGTCGATACATCGGTAGGCCACCGCGAGTCACTGTAAAGGCAATAGATGCATTCAATCACCTCCAGCGATACTTGGTGAAGTCGAATGCATGGCCTTCTCTCAGGGATTGAGTAACGCTAAGAGCTTTATCCTTTTATCTTTTAAGTAGTTCACCTCATGAGTTATCATCCTCTGGAAGATGTTTCACAAAACTCATATACGACATATAGCACATTCACTGAAAACTAGGTATGGACTTTCTTTTAATGACTTACAATAGTCCACGATTGGCAGGTGTTTTGTAGTAAGTAGTAAGTTGTTTATATCGACCCGGTAACGATGGAGACAATTGTTGACACACGGTCAGAATTCGCGCCACTGCTAATTTGTTTGATCATCTGCTAATCACTTCAGCAAGGTTTTTCTTTACATTCTTCTTTACCTAACAATTTAAGGTAGTAATTAGGCAGTAATTCCCGAGACCGACTTTCCATTAACCTCAGCATCAATCAATAATTCGTTGTTCTGCTGTTAAGCCCGCGCGAGATTATTACTTCACTCTTTATTCACGAAGAAGCTGACATTTCGGTCGATTTTGCCTTCTTCAAAGCCTAGAAAGGTCAAGTTGACTCTAATCTATCGGCTAAGCAACTCCATAACCCAAAAAGAAAGTTTACGAAACTTAGATTAGTGTGCCAAATCTAGCGAAGTCTGTGTGATTTGTATCCACGTGAAACACTGTGGAATACTCATAAAAAGCGGTGAATTTACGATGAAGCTGTTTTGTTCTTATTAAATTTGAAATCTACGTCTCGTGATTTTCTTTTGTTAAGGTTATGGTGGTGTTTGGCTGACAAGATTGCACTCAAGTTGGCCTTTCCAGGCTCTGCAGAAGGTGAAATCAGCCGAAACGTCAGCTTTCTTGCAAACAAAGAATGAAGTAACAGCGTCCTATGTGCTTATTATCGAAGAAATTAGGCAGTAGTTCCTAAATATTATAGTAAGTATGTGTTGTAATGATTTATTATTGTCTTGAAGAAAGATTCGTTAGTGAAGCTGCCTGTGTACGATTCATCTCAACCCTTTCAAAAAACGGCGTTTAGAGCGATTTAACTGGAAATTTGATGGACTGGAAATGTACTGCATAAATTCCTATCAGAACTGGTTCTGATTCTGGTAAGATATTGGTGCAAGTGAATTGTTGTTGAACATGTATCTCTTCACAGGTAAAGTAACAAGGTAGACAAAAGTTTTCTGTTCCGCTAGTTTTTCGACGCTTTTGCCTTCTTCAGAGCTGTATTGATCCGATCTTATTGGCTACAGTTATTCCTTTTTCCCATATGGGTCCTTGTAGTCGCCTCAAGTCGAATCCTGTGGATTACAAATCGGATGGTGCAACCTCGCTCGGCAGTGCCCTACAAGCCGTCCTGTATAAAGCACGACTGCCGAGTGAGGTTGCTCCATCTGAGCAGTAATCCACATAATTCGACTTGTGACGATTACGAGGGAAGGAACCCCAATATGGGAAGAAGGAACGACTCTGGACAATAGACTCGGATAAACGGGGTTCCGAAAAAGGCAAAAGCGCGGAAACATTTGCCGAATAGATTTCTTTTTGTCCACATTTTGTTAGCTTGTCAATGAAAGAATGCATATTGACTGATGATGCTGATGTTAAAAGGAAAGTCGGTGTTTGAAGTGATGCCGAGTAGTCCAGAATTTTCGCTGACAGGTTTGATGCTGTACGAGTTTCCCGCTGAACGATCCGTAATCAGCTGGGAGTTCGAGATTCCAGCGAGTGTTTCATATTTTCTTCGAGATTCTGTTGTTGCAAATGTTTTTTGTCTCTGATCTGTTCAATGGGGTGAAGCTCAGTTGAGTTCTGGTAGTCTTGTAGTTACGAGAACGATGAAGAGGTACGATCTTAACGATAGAGTTTTGTGCAAGCATGGTTCATACTACTATGAGGCAAAAATCACGGAGATTGCTGAAGAAGATGGAGAAACCGTCTACGTCGTCCACTATCAGGTAGGTTTTTTAGAAAACATGTTTTCTAGATTGTTTTAGTGTTTTCTTACGACCGCAGTGGAAAAATGACGTCATCTAGCAGTGTTTTTTTTGTTTCTAGGGTTGGCACAAAAGATATGATGAGAGAATAGCTCAAAGTGAGACAACGGATAAGTTCCTTCCGTTCACTGAAGAGAATATTGCAAGGTGTAAGGTATGATAGGTATGATAGGTGTATGCAAGGTGTAATTTCACTTGATATGCTATTTTTATTACCACACATTGACCGTGTTTTTTTTTTGTTTAAATGTGTTACTTTTTACTTGTTTAACAAAATTTTACACAACTTGCTATATAGTGATAACTTAAAAGACCGGCTTTCTATAAACCCCGGCATAAATAATCGATATATATGGCTTATATGTTATTATGAATTGCTCTTGTTGACTTGATGCAAGGTTGGTATAAGTTGTCGTTGTCTTTGTTGTTGTTGGTTGATGGTCGACGTTCCGGCGATTTCACCTTAGTGCCCCGCTGTTACGAGTGGGGCAATCCCAACAACAATAACAACAACAACAGCAACGACAACGAAAACAACAGCAACAAAAGCAACGACGGCAACTTATGCCAACCTCCTCATTAGCTCAAAAAGGGTGGTTCGTAAGAACGTATAAATAGGTATACACAGTGATACTTGTAGCGAAGGCATAGGTTTTATCTTGGCGTACTTATATTGATTTTCTGGTGGTAATGGTTCATTATTTGCTCTAGATGTGGTATTGTTTCAGTGTTATTCTTTCCAGAAAGAAATTCAAGAAGCAGCTTCGTCGTCGAAGAACAAGCGAAAGAAGACGAAAGAGAGCAACGAGGATGACGTAGGCTTCACCTTTGTTTTTTTTTGAGCATAAAGTTCTTAAGGACTTATTTTAAGTGTTAAAAAGCTTACCAGACTTTCTACTACTATTAAAGGTTTTAAGTATAATTGCGGAAACAAGACGTCTAGGTAAGCTTCTACTTTTTTGTCTTGTGTGGATGTCCCTTAAATGTATATTGTCTTTGAAGGAAACAACAAGCGACGCAAATCGAGTTGTATTAAGGCGATATGTTGGATTCAGTTACTTCTAAGCCTTCGAAATCCCCATCTGGGATTTCACTGCTTTTCTTTTAGAGCCGACGGAGCGATTCAAGTAGTCGTGGCTCAACTCCAAATAGTGTCCATCGTTCGAGGTCGTTGTCTACTCCTCTACGCGGTATGTGGCTTACAAATTCAGAGCGTTTTCTTTTCTGCTGAATTGCTTAAGTATGGGGATTTCCCTAAGAAATTGAGTTACTTAATAATCGAGCAGTGTATTTGTTAGTAATTAAGGAAAGCCAGTTTTCTTCTGTATTATGTGAAGGATAAGAGAGGTTAGAATGGTTTTGCGTTTATATAAGACCGTTCTGCCTTTGGGTAGAGGTGTGAAGTTTTAATATAGCCTGCTCAATATATGCCTTTACTTAGCAAAAATCGCCAAAAAAAGAGCTGAAGCTGGTTCTGATACACTAGCAGCAACATCAACCACTGTAACAAATGAAGCTGAGAATACCTCACCGAATCATGAACGTGATCCGGCTCTTCTTCAGGAATTAGACGTAAGTCATCTTCCCAAATATTCCTTTTCTGATGAATTTAATTGGTACTATAACCGTAATGTTGCTGAGAAATTTGCAAAACTCCGGACCGCTGGTGTTACGGTGGAGATCGAACACGCTATTACCCTTTCCGGTGGCTAACGCGTTCACCACCACACCATGCGAGTCCTTCGTTCCGCCCGTCTCTCAGCCTCTGTCTCTGTTTCTTAATTGGTGCTGTTCAGGTTTCTTTTCCTTAGTGGAGATGAAACATGTCAAGCGTTTTTAATTGATATCATCCGTTTCTTATGTGGTTTTTCACTAACTTTCTAGAAACTTATCGACATGCCTACGTGCCTGCTTCAAATTCTCGTAGATGATAGTGACATAATGACTCGTCAACGTATGGTTTCTCGTCTGCCAGCTCGTCATACAGTCGACTCCATCATTAATGATGTATGTTCGTCCATTCTTAATTTCCGTGAAGCAACTTCTTCAAATAGAGCATTTGGTCAACACGTGTATAAATTTTTGAGCTTACACGAGGTTGATGAATTACTTTATCCGGCTGACCCTCCGACGTCTTCATCTTCATTGAGGCCGATGTTCCGAGTCAACTGTAATGGAACCGTAATGATGCTGAGATGTTTACAAAACTATGGACTCCAGGTTTCTGCGGTAGGGAACGAACGCGCTATTAGTCTTTCCGGTGGCTAACGCGTTCACTACAACGCCATGCTGGTTCTTCGTTTGAATTCCTTTTTTCGGTCCTGCAGTCCGGAGTTTTGCAGATATATGAGCATCATTACGGTTCTATTCCACATTTTACCCTACCGTGAACAACTGTAGTAGGGAGCAAGTAAAGAGTTAACATAGAAGCAAAAATCTTCAAGAAAACAGGAAAATTACAAGGGAAAAAGTCAGTTAAGCATCTATTCTGCAATGCATTAGGAATGATGAGCAGTAAATGAGAAAATAGAAAAAAAGTGGAGATAAAATCGTTCCAACGGTTTACCGCCTCATCTTGGCAAGGTGTTTCTGGGAGTGTCGGGCTGCTACGTGCAGCGTAGAGGTTCATCCGCTAGCAGCGCCTCACAAGCTGAGAAGGAGTCCGGCGTTTTCATGAAGAAGTCTAAGAGGAGTAATGGAAATTATGCTGGGGCTGGCACAACCAGTGAAGTTGGGTTGTCCAAATAAGTAAGAAATAAAATTGTTCAAGGAGATCGCAAAAATGCAGGAGGGAAAGCTAAAGCTAGTTAAGCATCCTTCGGTATTCTGCAATGCGTTGGAAATGAACTGTGAACAAGAACACAATAATAACGAAGAAGAACTTCTTTCATGTTTTCATGGTATAAGGAACTTGTTTAGAAAAATTTTCAAATATCCGATCATAAGAACATTTGCTGCCTTATGTCATAAAGTTCTGTTTAATTTCAGAATCTAATTCCTAAAGGGCGCGTGTGGCGCAGTGGTTGGGGGCGCCACTGTGACACACAAGTGGAATGGATCCCCACGTCCATGGCCCACCAAGCCTTTCATCCCTCCGGGCTCAGCAAATTGGTGCCAGACTTGTCTGAGAGGATAGCAGCACTGGCTCGATACATTGGTTGGTCATGGCAAGTCATTGAAATGGCCAGATGTGCATTCAGTCGCCTCCAACGATACTTAATGAAGTCGAATGCATGGCGCATCCCTCAGGGATTGATCAGCGCCGAGAGCTTTATCATTTTTTTAAATTCCTATGGTGTGCGTTGTATGATTTTTACAAACTGTGCTTCAGTATTGTACCGAACTTGGGTATTCGCCTAAAGATGGAGAGGATTCGGCAGTAGCTAATACATCTGGTGGTTTGGGAAGCAGTGCAATGGGACTGCGTGATTTCTTCAATAAAGTTCTGGGGTACGTTTTCTTCCGATTTTATTTCCGTACGCATTTAGCGTTTATGGTCTTCCGTCGGAATAACCTCTTTATTCCGCATTTATCTTGTTAAAACGGCTTCAGTTTTCGCTATATTCTTGGTTTATTGAACTTTTCAGAACTATTCTTTGTGTCATTTCTTTTATGTTTTCTTAGATTGAGTTTTTAATTATCATTGTTGTTATTACTATCATCATGGGGCACGTGTTACGCAGTGGACGGATTCGCCCTGCAATACACATGGAAGCTTTCCCAGCGCTTTAGTTCCACCAAGTGCTTCATCCTCCGAGAGCGGCAAATTGGTACCAGACTAGTCTCGGAGGATAGCAGCACTGGCTTAATACGTTAGGAGGTCACCGCATGTCATTATAAAGGACAGAATTGCATTCAGTCACCTCCAACAGTGCTTAATGAAGTCGATTGCATGGTGAATCCCACAGGGATCGATCAACGCTGAGAGCTATTATCCTTGTGTTATTATATTTGTTACTATCATTACTTCCACTATTATTTTGTTTTACTGAATTGCTAAATCTGCAGTAGAATTGCGTTGTAAGAAAATTCCAAGCCGATTTTCGTGGTATATGTGAAAGCAGGTCGACTTAGATCTGATTTATTCTTAGGTATCAACTACTTTATAAATTTGAGCGTCCTCAGTATGCCGCTGAGATAGAGAAAGCTGTGGGATCAAGTGATGTTGTTTTAAGGAAAAGAAAGTCGCAGTCGTCTTCTGGTTGGTGTTCATTCTTCTAACTACTGAATGATGATCGAGAATCGTGAGTGAGCTGAACAGATTGTTAGTTTCTTCCAGATGACTTCGGCGCTGTCTTGGTGCCATCAAAATTGTATGGTTTGCCACATCTTCTGAGACTAATCGTTCGACTGGCTAGTCTGCTTCGCGATGTAACTTGGAATGATGCTGTTTTCCGAGTAAAGTTTCCAAGTTTTTGTTTTTGTTTTTACATTTTCATGGCGATCTCACAACTGTTATGAACATTGTGATTTCGACTAAAGCTTCAGCTTAACTGGATTCAATGCCGGTTTGTGCTGCCCAGATAAATCCCAGATCATGACGGGTGATTGGTGATAGCACTGGTATACAGAAAACTAGCTGATAGAAAGGCAAAACGAAGGGCACGCATGGTGTGGTGGTGAACGCGTTAGCACTTGGAAAGGGTAATAGCGCGTTGGTTTCCCAACATAGACACCTGCGGTCCAGAGTTTTGCAAATATCTCAGCACCTTTGTGGCTATGACCAGAGTTCAAAATGTTGTCGAAAGAAATTGCATGGTTCAACTTTGAATAAACGGCTTATAGTGAGCACTTTTTTAAAAATAAAAATCAGGTTCTCCAGCTCATTCCAACAAGAATCAGGTATTCTTTTCATCATCACAGCGAAATGCTCTCTTACCGGAATCCATTAAATATATTGCGTTTTTAGTCGTTCGTTCTTGCACTAATTGTGGAGCTGCTTGAAAAGTTAGGAGTTTATTTGTCCAACGTGCACCGCTTTGTCCTCGAATGTCATTAATGCTTTGGACGTGGACATTTGTTGCGCTCTAAGTTTTCAAAAAATTCTATTTTGCATTCGTTTAAATTGATATAACATGAAGTTTTAGAATCAAAAACGAACATTCTGACTGTATGTCTGACTATATGTTTCCCTATTAAGTTTTTAGCGGGATATTCTAATAATAGCTTTCCGCTATATGAAGGATTATTCTTGTTTCTATAGTATAATTTGATTTAAAATGTGTCGGTTTTCTTCAGAACTGCAAAGTTTTATTTTCGTTGCTAGAGTTAGATAACGTTTTGACGCAGACGTAGGTTGCACATATCTGATTCGTGTAGTTTTACACTAAATGGTGATATTCTTTTTGTAACGTTATCTACTTCCCGCATGGTGTGGTGGTGAAGGCGTTAGCCTCCGTAAAGGGTGAAAGCATGTTCCATCCTCACCGCAGACACCTGTGGTCCGGAGTTTTGCAAATATCACACCATCCCAATATCGACTTTCTGTTAACTTCGGCATTAGATTATAAATCTGTTGTTTTCTTTCTCATCAATCGCTAGGTTGTTAAACAGCAAACGTTTACTCTCGTAAAATAACACACATATAACACAACCGTAGCTGACGTTTCGGCGGAATCGCCTTCTTCAGAGCCGCTTTTTCTACCTGTCTTCCACCGAGGAAGAACAGCCACTACTCAGAGTCGCATATGGTTGACGACTGCCTTAGTGGAAGACAGGTGAAAAACGCGGCTCTGAATAAGGCGATTCCACCGAAACGTCAGCTACGGTTGTGTTGTGTGTGTGTTATTGTATGGAGGTAAACGTATGATGTTTAATAACCTCGCGATTGCTGAGAAAGAAAACGACAGATTTATCACGCCATAATTTTTGTTTTTTTTTAAATCATTTTTAAGGATATTATTACGTGTACCCAGCACCTGATCGGATTCCTCGAGAAGAATTATGCGAAGTACTACAGTATTGAGAACGATTATGAGAATACTACGCCAGAATATCAGAAAACTGCCTGGGCTTCTACCTCATGATAAAGTACGTAGCATCCAATGTACATTATTTGTAGTTTTATGTTACTTCATTAGCACGTATTAGTCTTTTTTCTTTTTTTTCTTTGTTTTGGTCAGTGTTGGTTAGTCTTCCACTACGTTGTTTTTTATTGGTCTCATGTTTTTCTGTATACATAAATAATTGCAAGAATAAGATTGTTAATGGTACTTTATCTGATGAAATGAAATCTTACTCTTTTAGTGACTGGCTAGGAAATGGGCCCTTAGCTACATCATTATTTTTGTTTACCCATGTTTATGTGCTAATGTTCTCTAATCATGAGCCGGATTAAGGCTAATTTTTAATACAAAGTTGTGCCTACCAAAATTCTGTGCTGTGTTTTGCCTCGTCTTGTGTTTCGTAATCGTGTACAATAATGTTTGAGACAACAATTGTTACTTGATTATGAGGTAGCAGTGGTGCTGCTCAGATGTTTACCCACCGTATTTCACGTTATTCATTGACTATGAGTTTTTGTTCAACTATCACCAGTTGTTTATGAAATATGCAAACTGCCTTAACGACAAGTTCGACGCGTTTATGAACTTAGATATTCTTTGGGAAAATGCGATCTTCTAATTTCAACATAATCATGCAATATATGTGGTTTCTCGTCATACTTTCCAGAAAAGTCATCTATTTGGTGATAGAGTCGGATCGTCAATTACCTATTCAACTCAAGAGTGCTAGTTAATGTAACCATGTAGAATACTTCCTGTGTTAGTCACAGAACTCTCGGGTGATCGTTTGACCTCTTACAGGCCTATTTGACATGAAACAAGTCTACGAAGTGAAGGCAATCAGCCAATAATCCGTTTGTGACCCGTCATGTTGTTTAACGTTTTGTTTTCTGCCTTCTATAATTTTCATGGCAGGTTATTAAGCGAAATACAACCACAACGTTGCTGAGATATTTGCAAAACTCTGGACCGCAGGTGTCTATGCCGATTTGCGCTCTCCAGATCAACCCCGCTGACGGGTGATTGCTGTGGCAAAAAGATCGATAGAAATAGCTGAGAGACGTGCGTCAGTGCTACTTGTGACCGTCAGCATGAAGGAAACGAATAGGAAGGCGATAGAGAAGGGATGATTTCATGGTTTTGTGATGGGCCGCCGAAGTACTCAAGTAGATGTGACAATCTAACGGTCATTGGTAATGCTTGATATAAAGAAATACTTGTGCACTTTGCATCTAAAGTAGTCTTTCAAAAGACTAACAAGAATTGGAGCTGAATAAAAGATGAGACGAACTCCAAAAGGTTATCTGCCTGTCGTTCTTTGACCTCCACTTTCCATCAGACACGTCTCATCTATTAAGCTTTTATTGCAGTGAAAAATTTTGAACTTAACCTCGTTTATGAATGACTACTGTCTTTAAAGTCTTTTTGGAGTTCGGTGCCTAAATAGCCTGTATGCTCGAAAAATCGTGCTTGCTATGACACATTTCCTGACTGGTGTGTTGCTCAACACAAGATTTACTGGCGCGCTCTAGTCGCTCAAGGATCAACGGGTACAGGCGACGCAATGGTACAGATGAGTGAAGACGTCATCACATCTTCCACTCACAATCATCGTTCATGGTGGTAGTCTATTTCATCTGTTTTGACCGTCAGCGAAGCACATTCCGTTGTGAAGAAATGGTTTCTGTCTGCAAATTAAATGACTAATGACATATTCATCCAAATCCCTCCATCGTTTACGTAGTCATCCGACGAAACGTTTGCATCTGCTTTGAGCCCACTCTGCCGTCATTTTAGTCCATCTGTCGTTTGTGGTTTTTATTACATGACTGTTCTATCTGTGTTCCACCATCTATGGATATTCTCCTGGATTTCGAAAACGGGAAGCGCTTTGAAAATCTGAGTTAACATTACGGCTAGTCGTTATATTTGGCGGTGAAATATTCGAAGACATCGCCCAAGTACTTTTTGCGGTTGGTCAAAGTTTCACATGGTTAAATTAATAACTCGAGTCTGTGTTGCATAGCAGCGCTGCGTGAACCGTCGACCTCAAGAGGTGATCCTTAAGTTTCTGCTCTCTCAGTTGGTTTTGGTCGATGGCCTCTCAATAGAGCCTGAACACGACAGATACTGCTCTCCTTCTTCTGTATAGTTCCCTCTTCCTGTTGTTTTCCATGTTTGGCTTTACATCATGGTTTCTTCTTGAATTGGCTTTTTGTCCTATTTTTACACAGTCCAATTTCTTCCCTCGTTCTCATTGAGCATCTTCTATGTTTCACTGTTACTACTCGAAAAGATGACGAGGTTATCATTAAACCGAGATTTGAGTTGAATTTTCCATGAACGCCTCAGCCTTTCTCAACCCACTCAAGCGAGTTCATTATCCATTGTAATGCCGATATGAACAGTTTTTGCGATATAGTGCTCCCTTGTCTAACCGCTTTCCCTGTGGGTATGGTAAGGAGCCGATGGAAAAGCTGTATTTTCGTAGCGCAAGCCCGATAACGGTCTAACACAGTTTTTATGCTGGTTTTTCGTAGTCGGTCAAGGTTAGGAAAAGGGCAATTGGTACTTGCAACATAATTTCTATGGCTGGTGACACTGTTTGGATGTGTTCCATGCAACAGAATCCTTGTCGAAATCGCGCTTTCCCGACTGCTTATACCTCTCGTGAATAGGTTGTAGAGTACACGCACCGAGCATATTGGACGGCGATTGTGAAGATCCCTTCGGTCACCTTTTTTGGGTAGGATGACCGTGTGCGGCGTCCTCCACTGGTCTGCCATTTTCTATCCCTGAAGGCAATATTCAATTTCCTTAGAAAAGCATATGTAATTTACGACTTCCAGCTCTAAGGAAGTCGGCCGCAGTATTCTTGGGTGCCGTAGGTGTGCCTTTCCCAATGTTTTCTATTCCAACTCGAGAATCAGAAAGTAGAACCCGAGTGTTTTTTCCGAAGGAAATTTGTGGTCAAAGAGGGACTTCATGAAATTCCTTGTTCTGGTTGGATGTTGTGATAGTCTCATCTTCGTCAGTGCTGGTAGTTAAGCATTACAATCGAAGACGTCAGAACTAAAGTTCTTCAGACTATTCCATTTTTGGGTTGCTTTTACTAGTTTCTTCGGCTTATCTCAACGTATCTCCTGCAAAGAGCTTCGTCAACTAATATTTGTCAGCTGTGTTACGTGTAGGAAATCCCTGGACCGGCTTTCTTCTAAGCTCAAAATTGATCAGTGATTTACTGTATTTCTTATGAGCAGATACGAGGTAGTTGTTACAGTAGTTATTAATACACAATAGGTGACGTTTCGGCGATTTCGCCTTCTGCGGAGCTTGAAGAGGTCAAATTGACATGGAATCTATCCAGCCAAACTCTTCCATAGCCTCAGCTGACAAAATTTAACACATAAATTTCTATTCCCATAATTCTTTTAAACATCCATAATTTTGTTCCTTATGAGTCTTCAAGTGACGTGGTGGAGTTCAGCCGCAAGGAGTTTTCTTACATGGGTGAGGAAGGCGCTTGGCTCAGGTAAAAAAAGAGCAGCCTGAGGCATGACGTGAGATCGTTGGTGACCACAAGGAAATCCTTCTTGCTGTTCATTTTTGGTCTACCGTTTGGCTAATGTATTCGTCCCCACACTCTCTGCTGCAGATTAGGTATACTCATGCAACGGCCGTCTGTGTGGTCGTTAGGACAAATTTTGCAATTTTGCGTCTTCGCGTATACGTTAATCCCAGCGGCTGTTATCTGGCATCTTAAAATGTTCGGTGATATTTCAATTACTGCTACCGATTTAAACCGGCGCGTTTTAAGCAACGTTTTATAGCTGTACTCATATCGTTGCAAACGAAGGGCAGGAGAAACGGTATCTTATTTCCACTGGATTTATCGTGTATAGGTGCTAATTTTCCATTAAACTTTCAGCTGCCGTTTCGTGGCCATTGGAAACAACTATTCTCCACTAGAAAGTGGAAAACGGTTCCTTCCTTCCTTCTGTTCTCTTCCTGTGCACACATCGGTGACTTCGAAACATGTGCTTGGGTACGTGAGCTGCTCCACTGTTCGTTGACTTCGGCTGTATATCGCAGTTCTACACCCAGGAACATCCTACTGCCACAATGGGGTCTTAAACCACTGTGGAGTCAACGTAGTTTAAAAATTTTGCATTCGATAGCTATCCGGAGACTGAATGATATCGAATTATATTCAGTAGTAACTGCTAAGGAATGTTGTTTTTGTGTAGTATTTCTACGGTGTCTACAATTAACATCCTAATGAAAAGAAGTGTTTCTCATTTTTCACATTATTTTAGCATTGGTGGGTGGTTATTCATCTAAATGTGTTTGTTAGTTACTCCTTTAACTGAATTCTTTCATGGCCCGTTTTCATATAGTTGGATCACAGCACTTTATTGGTTTCGTTCTCTCGCAACCGTCGTTCATAATAGTTGTCGGGTTTTTTTTCTTTTTGGTTCGATAGCGACTTTGTCTGACATCCTCTACCCGCTTTGATACTCTTTTTGCTGTTGGAATGTGGTTTTCGTTGGAATTCCGAGATTGGTGCATCGAACATTCCGAAGTCCTCCATAAGTCGCCTACCATTGTTGGTCCTCGATGATCTTCTCTTTCGTCTCAGATTCTTCCGGGATGACATGGATTAGTTAACTAACCACCCGTGGATGATGTCAAGTTTAAATAAGTCTGAACCTTGAGGAAGGAACTGTACTAAAATTGCTCAGCTGTAGGTAACAAAAGATGTCATTATAAGTGAGGTTAGTTGCGTTTTATTTGGGGCCTCTACTGTCGCACTTACGAACCATTTCTACTGCGCGGACGTCTTTGCAGTGAGGTTGTATATGTGATTTGCCTTACCTTCATTCTGGTGATATTTTTAGACAGGAAGTAATTTTAATGAGGAGTAAACGTCTTTTTGTCACAATGCCACCTAAGTGGTGGGTCGTCTGCTACAGGTTCAGGTTCTTTTCTTCTGAAGAAGCTGAAAATTTTTGAAAACGACA